CTCTCTATCTTCTCTTTTCCTGTCTGTCCCTCCTGTTCTCCTAAACTCTGTTCCTTCTTTCCATCCTTCCCCCGCTGATTCTCTGCTCCTGACTGACTCTGTTTCTCCTCACCAGGAGGTGTCTGTAGAGACCTTGCTGAAGAATTCTGACCTCACACCAGAGCTACTGCTCCAGGCACTTCTGCCCCTCACCTCTGAGAATGGCCCTTTGACCCTGCATGAGGGTCAGGACTTTCCACACAGGGGTAGGTCACTGGGGGCTGGCCTGTGCCTCTGCTCCTGGAGGGTGGGTCTCTCATGGTGGGCGTGGGGTAGGGAATGAGAATGGGGTTGCCCCCACTCACCTCCCCCTTCCCCTCCTCGGGTGCTAACGGAATGAGTTCCAGGTGTGCTGCGGCTTCGGGCGCCTGAGCCCCAGCGCTGTGGGGAGGCCCTGTGGCTGATACCTCCCCAGACATACCTGAATGTAGAGAAGGATGAGGGCCGAACTCTGGAACAGAAGAGGAACCTCTTGAGCTGTCTTATTGTCCGTATTCTCAAAGTCCACGGGGAAAAGGGCCTCCACATTGATCAGCTGGTTTGTCTGGTAGGCCCAGGGGACCGTGAAGTTAGGGGAGGGAGGGAGTCATGCTCAGGGTCGGGGCTTGGAGCCAGGGATCATCACAAGGGAAGGTAAACTCTGTCAGTATGAGACCTTGTAGAGTGACATTTTTGTCGGAGTTTTCTATTCCTGACAGGGCAGTTTGTTAGACAGCAGGCAGAGGCAAGACATGAGTGTCTACTGTATACTAGGCCTTTTTCCAAGAGTTTGCATGATTAGGTCATTTAATCTGCACAACAGTCTAATGGGGGTGGTGATGGTGGTGGTGGTATTATTATTATTATTATTATTATTATTATTATTATTATTTACTCTTATTCTCATTTGACAGGTAAGAAGAGTGGGGCATGAGAGTTAGTAACTTATCCATAGTCACATAGCTAGTAAGTGAAAGAGCAGAGCATTGAACCCAGGCATGCCGGCCTCTCTGGGTAAATGTGGCCTGCCTGTTTCCTCTCCACCCATCTAGGTGCTGGAGGCCTGGCAGAAGGGTCCAAACCCCCCGGGGAGCCTGGGCCGTGCTGTTGCAGGAGGCGTGGCCTGTACCAGTACAGACGTCCTTTCTTGCATCCTGCACCTCCTGGGCCAGGGCTATGTGGAACGGCGTGACGACCGGCCCCAGATCCTGATGTATGCCACCCCAGAGCCTATGGGGCCTTGCCGGGGTCAGGCAGAGGTCCCCTTCTGTGGCAACGAGACCGCCAAGACCTCCAAGCCTAGGTAGCTGTCCCCAGCCCCGTTCCCTGCTGCTAGGGCTCCAAGCCAGCAGGGAGGGCTGGGCTCCCAGGGACAGACGGCACTGCAGTGACACGGGAGTTTTAGTGCCAAGGCCAGGCTCTTTTGTGAAAAAGCACTTCATTTCTGTCTTTGTGTACCCCATTTTCCCTGCCTCTGTCATTTCTCCCACTTTGCCAGTCCTCATTCCCCCTGTCAGCACCGTCACCCCTTCTTTGCCTTCCTAATCAGGGGCCCTGCTGTCCCCATTCTCCTAGAGTCAGCCCATAGGCAAGGGGCCCAGACACATAAGCTTCTGTATAGATAACTCTCATTCTAAGCAAAAATGCAGTATCATACAACTGTGTATTGAGTGCTGATTATGCTCTGCTCAATGAAATGTACAAACTCTAGTCTTCAAGAAGCCTGTTCTACAGAGGAATTTGTCATAGGATCCCCCTAATTAGCTGGCACCCCTAAAGCTTGTTATATCACATTCAGCTCACTAGAAGTTGTTATGGCACAACTTTTATGCCTGCTGCCTGCACTGTGTATAAAGTGAGTTCTCTAGAGAAATCTTTCTCAAACTTTCACTTGCACACATGTCACCTGGGGATCTTATTAAAATGCAGGTCCTGATTCAGTAGAGCTCCCTGTGATACTAATGGGGATACCCACTGACCATACTTTGAGTGGTAAGGCCACAGACTCCAGTTTCTCCCCAGATGTGTTGCTGCTGTTTTAGGTGGGGCTTATGGTGGGATTATCCCATCCACTGTGGGTCAGTTTGCTTCCCGATGCCTGCCTACCAGATTCCTGGGGTGTTAGAGATCATTGTGACAACCAGCCCCACTCGCCACTTACAAATGCTTCTGTGGAAAGCAGCTCTGACAGTTGGTTTGGGTGGCTACCCTTAGGTTGGTTAGGCAGGCGCAAGCAGGCGTGCGCAAGTGGGGAGCTGAGGGCCATGGTGGGGTTCATTTAGTAGATAAGCAGAGCAGGGACATTGATTGCTGAATCTCCTCTTCCCTCAAGCCCAGAAGCTGTGGCTGCCCTGGCGTCTCTCCAGCTGCCTGCAGGCCGCACCATGAGCCCCCAGGAGGTAGAAGGGTTGATGGAGCAGACGGTGCGGCAGGTGCAAGAGACGCTGAACCTAGAGGCAGATGTGGCTCAGCACCTTTTGGCTCATTCCCACTGGGGTGCTGAACAGCTGCTGCAGAGCTACAGTGATAACCCTGAGCCACTGCTGCTGGCAGCCGGGCTGTGTGTACCCCAGGCCCAGGAGGCCCCCACACGCCCTGACCACTGCCCTGTCTGTGTCAGCCCCCTGGAGCCTGACGACGACTTGCCCTCTCTCTGCTGCATGCACTACTGCTGCAAGGTGAGGCCCCGCCTGCCCCTCTCCTGCCCCTCTCCTGCCCCTCTCCTGCCCCACACAATTCCTCGTGAACTCTGGGCTTCTAGCCCAGCATTGCCATTTCCTAACCTGGGCAGTGTCGGACAAGGCTCTTCGTCCCTCTGAAACTGGTTTTGTCATCTAAAAGTGGCACCCCTAGCCTCAACACTCTGAAGAGTGGTTGTTGTTAGGATCCAGTGAAATGTATAAGTGGCTCTAAAACTTTGCCACTGGCAAATAGGTGAATATGCTAATAATATGCTAAAATATGCCGGTGGCATATTGTAATCACTGGGAGCTTTTAAAAAGTCCTCATGCTCAAACTGTTAAATTGGAATCTCTGGAGGTGAAACCCAGGCATCTGAAGTTTTAAAAATTCCTCAGGTGATTCCAGTGTTCAGCCAGGTTTGAGAACTATAGATAGACAGATAGATAGATAGATAGATAGACTGATCGATAGATAGATGGGTAGCACACGCATACATGTAAAATATACATCAAGGCACTTCATAAATGAGAAGTGTTATTACATTGATGATGACTATAGGTTTATGTTTCCTAATTATCATTCAAGTCCCTTTATCTCAGAACATGAGAATAGCACAGAAGTCAAGGGAATTATGGGAAGCCAGATCTTGCTACTGTACAGCTGAGCAGAGGAGGCTGTAGATGGGGGAGTGAGTTGTCTTCAGTGGCGGGGGAGAGGGGCCAAGGTGCAGGGGACCAGAGTGCTGAGTGTCCCATGTTCCCTGCCTCACAGCTCTTAGAACTGATGCCAAGCCCAAACACATCAACTTAACAGGATGAGCGCGCTTGTTGCCCTGAATCTAGCTGCCTCTCCCAACAGCGTCTCCCCAGTGGTGGGTGATCTGGGACGTGTGCATTGGCATGTGTGTGTACGTGTACTTTTCCTCCTTCCTTTTTTGCTCTGCTTCAAGTTACTCTTCTCACACGGTTTCCTGTGCCCCCCTTTTCCTGGTTCTTAATTATTTCCTTCCCACTTTCACTTTTTCATTCAACTAATGTTTGTCATGAACTCACTGTGTGCACAGCACCGGGTGCTATATGAGGGGGTGGGAAAATCCAAGCCAGAAATGACCCAAGGGCTAATAATATCAGCAGCTAATATTTATGGGGGATGCATTCTGGGCCGTTCTGCTGTTATATATGCATTATCTTGCTTAATTCCCATGAAAGTCGTGTGAGGTCAGTATTTTTACCATCCCCATTTTGCTGGTGACAGATGGAGGCGCCTGGAGGAGAAGTCACCTGCCCAAGGTCAGGATTTGGACTTTGGCAGTCTTGCTCCAGGGCCCTCCCTCATGCTTTTATGACAAGTGAGGGGAAGGAAATAACAACAGGGTCATGTCATAGGAAGTGACTGAGGTGAGGAGTGGGGGGAGAGTCCCTGTCAGGGACTTTAGACTGGGGAGGCCAAGGAAGGCTGTCCTTGAAGAGGTGACTATTTGGTGGAAGAGCATGGCAGACAGAGGGGACAGCAATTGCAAAGAAGCTGAGACTGGTGGCTAAAGCACAGTGATGTGGTGGGACAGTGGAGGGAGAGATTTGGGAGGGAGACGGACCCAGTGGGGTTGGGATTGGCATACAGTGGGCTTGACTTTATGGAAAGCCACGATGGAGTTAAGCAGGGGAGTAATTGGATCTGATTTTCATTTTCTTTTTAAATTTTTTTCAATGTTTTATTTATTTTTGGGACAGAGCATGAACGGGGGAGGGGCAGAGAGAGAGGGAGACACAGAATCGGAAACAGGCTCCAGGCTCTGAGCCATCAGCCCAGAGCCTGACGCGGGGCTCGAACTCACGGACCGCAAGATCGTGACCTGGCTGAAGTCAGACGCTTAACTGACTGCGCCACCCAGGCGCCCCTGATTTTCATTTTCTAAAAGATCACCATGTGTGGAAGAAAGGCTTGGGCAGATCTTGTGTGGAAGCAGGGGCACCTGTTGGGAGACTGTTGTATAAAGAGGCAGGAAGCAGTGGGTGTTTTCCCAGCATTTGCAGTGAAGAGAGAAGGGGACAGATTGGGGTACATTAGGAGGCAGAGTTGACAGGGCTTGGTGGAGCTGATGGGGGGCTTAGGACAAAGGAATCAAGGGTACTTCCTGGGCTTCTGACCAGAGCATCTGGGTGGATGAGATATGTCATCTTCTACTGAATTTAGCAAGCTGTTGGGGCTGGGGCTGGGTGTGGAGGGCAGGTTTTTGAGGGAAAATTAAGTCTGTTTTGACCATGTGAAGTTTGAGCTTCTTGTTGGATACCTGTGTGGGACTGGACAGCAGAATTTGGAATTAAGTGGAGAGGCCTAGCTGGCATCCTGCAGAGAGAGAGAAGCAGGTCCAGAGTGCTGAGCTGTACAGATCCCCCTGTAGAGATGGAACGACAGGGAAAGTGAGAAAAACAGGCTAATTGGAGATGTCCCAGCCAAGGAGGAGCCTATGTTTAAGTCACAGCTGAGCGGCACAGTGAAATGTAAGGGAACTCAGAGAAGGGAAGTCCTGGGTTTGGAGCTGTCGATGGGGGCTGTGGGGGGTGGGGGGTGTGCCCCGTGTGAGCCTTGAGTGACAGGCAGGGTTGGCAGGTGTGGGAGGGGAGTACAGGCTGGACGGAGACTGCATTCCCGGTGGGCTGGGCAGGGGGGACGGCAGAAGCGGCAGAAGAGAGAGCAAGCCAACAGCAGAGGGGCTCCTTAGGGGAGTGGGATGGGCTCCAAACCCAGCTGCCAGCCTTTGTCCTCTGTGGCTGTAAGGGGCCCTGTTGTGCCCGTATGCCTGCAGGCATGAAGTCTGAATTTGGAGTATTTTCCTGTTTTCTCTCAAAAATGCAGGAATTCTGCACTCAATTTCCCAACTTATCTGGCTTTATTTCACCATAAAAAGGGTTTTGTTTTGTTTAGTACCTTTCTTGGAGGGATCTGGGTAGGAAGACCGTTTATGGGGACAAGCAGTTTAGGGGTCAGGGGATAAAGGCCTGGTTTAGGGTGGTGCAGTGACATGGGAGCTAGAAGAGAATCCAAGAGATATGAGGGTTCCGACACCCGTGACCAGGATGGGTGGGGGGTTCAGTGGGTGAGGCTTTTTTGTGGAGAAGAGGCTGAGTCTGGGAAGATGGGAGCACCAAGGAGCTAGGTGAGCAGATGGAGCTGGCAGGAGAGGCCACAGCGGTGTTTGCAGTGTCCAAGGCCAGCTACCCCACAGGGAAAAGGCACCCTACTGCCCCAGGCCTCCTTCCTCTCTGGCCTTCTTGCTCTCTCCAGATCTTTCTTAGAACTTGAATCATCTCCTTTGTCCTGATTCTCTTACCCATTCCTTCCATGTCCATCTCAACAATAATTAAAATGAGGCCACTACCCTGGCCCACACATCCTCAAAGGCAACTGTGATTTGGGCCAATCCCAGGAAAACCCATAGAAGCCAGAAAGATTAGGGTCAGTTTTGAGGTTGCTCCAGAAGCAGGCTTGTCTCTGGCCTTCCATAGTCAGGAGGGGGGTGCTAGGAAAATTACCAGTCCAAGATGTCCTCCTGTGCTGCTCCCCTACTGTCCCTAAGCAGCCCCTCCTTTCCCCTCCAGTCTTGCTGGAATGAGTATCTGACAACTCGGATTGAGCAGAACCTTGTGCTGAATTGCACCTGTCCCATTGCCGACTGCCCTGCACAGCCCACTGGAGCCTTCATTCGGGCCATTGTCTCCTCCCCAGACGTCATCTCCAAGGTAGTCCCTCCTCTGCAGGAGGATTCGGTGTACAGCCAGAGGGGCAGGCCCTAGGGGGTGGGCCCACATTCTGGGTGCCGGTGGTGGGGGGAGGGTGGGTCTGGAGGTGTGGCATCCTGGAGAGCCATGCCCTCACCTGGTGGCACCTATGCCCCCATAGTACGAGAAGGCCCTCCTGCGTGGCTACGTGGAGAGCTGCTCCAACCTGACGTGGTGCACCAACCCCCAGGGCTGTGACCGCATCCTGTGCCGCCAGGGCTTGGGCTGCGGGACCACCTGCTCTAAATGTGGCTGGGCCTCCTGCTTCAACTGTAGCTTCCCCGAGGTGGGTGCCTGCCCAGCCCTGCCCCTGAGCAAGGCCTGTACCTCTCCTCTGCCAGCACTCCGCTCTGCCACCCCCCCC